TACACAGTTCATTTATAGGCAAACACATCCATAAAGTTTAAAAAAATTCCACAGAATACTTTTCTTAGAAGAAATTCCCAAAAATGACTTAAATTTTAGTCGGTCACACTGGGTAGGCCCCTTAAAGTACCAACGAAAATTAAATTGTTTGAGCCAATATTAAAAAAGTTATTCTATTTTTAAATGTGTCTGAATATTAATGGGAGTTACGTAAATAAGTAGAATTTTTACTAATTTTAGATGGCAGAAAATCAAAAATGGCAAGCAGGGAAATGAAGATTAGGACTTATTTGATTTTTCGTATTAGCATTTGTAGTTGAATGAAGAAAGTAATTCAAGTTACAATTTGCCCGAAAAGTGACTTACACCACTATGACTTTTATCTCTCCGTTTGATTAAAAGACATTCACCTCTGCCGAAACGTTTTTACGGAATATTTTTGCTCATTCTCTCACCGTTCCATTGTCTCACCGTCTTGTTAGTCGTCGAAAGGAGATACGCTACGGGTTAATATTAGTTCGTCAAGCGAAAACTTTACCAGAATCGACAACGTGCTCGTACGTCGGAAATCGTTTTTTCACCGCCGAACTGATTGAACGCAATACGAGTATCAAGGAAAGGTTTAAGTAGCGCATCAGAGCTCTTCGAATCATGCGGCTGTATTCATCATCTCCAGTAATGTACAGTGCAACTAAATGCATCACCCTATCGATTATGCAATTATCATAGTTAACATGTTGAGCAATATCATTTTCTTTCGAGTCATTTAAGCCAGGGTCACCAAAATGCCCGATATCGACCGATACATAATATTATTGAGGGTTGGTTCAGTTTTATGAGCCATAAACCTAAAAGCCTGAGAAATGTGATAAAAAGCTATGTCTAATATTTGAAGCGATAAACTTGGCTTGAGATTAGGAAACACCCGTTTGAAATACTGGTTGGAAAACTGCTACAGTTAAGTGAGAGGGGAATACTCTATTATGGAAATATTAGAAGGAAAAGGGGAGTGTGTTAAGCTGGTTAAGAACGCTGGATGAGAAATTAAAAGAGAAAGAGAAACAAGGATTATTAAAATATATTTGTGTTTAGGTTTTATGTAGACAGATAAGTTCAGATTGTATACCGAAAAAAGATAAAGTATACTTATATCTATTAATTTTATATTCATTTTATGTTTAGTTGTGTTAGTTAATTTTAAGTTTGTTATAGGGTAAGTTAGTTTAATTTGGTTATAGATTAGAAGAAATAAATGAAGGTTGTAGAGGAATATAAGATCTGAAAGTGAAGTAGTAATATAAGATCTGAGAAGTGAAAAGTTCCGTTAGTGTGCAAGGGTATAGAGGAACGAGTGATTAAGTTAATTGTAATTTTAAAGTGTCAATCTTGGGCCGATAAGGCTAAAATAAAGACTGTTATCCGCGAGCATTGCGGCACCTAGATGGTTTTTCTTATAAGTCTTACTGCTGTACGTGTACTTAGATGCGTTCTTTCATTTTCGTACAGTGTTCAAAGAACAACATTGGAGAATACCAAAGAGTTTAAAACTGAGATTATTACATATATTTCTGTATTACTAAATAATATTATAGAGTTAATTAAAGTTCTTTTATAATAAAGAGCTTATATTTGAATTTATGACAAAAGTAATCAAAAGTATAGTGCATTATCATTTACTACAACTTCTATTATCCGATCATGCGAGAACTCCGCATCCAAGAAAAGCATTAACTATATTACAATATGTAAAATATACAATTGCTAAATAAATGTACAGAAGTAGTAAAAATTTTTTCTTGTTTCTAAGATATAAACAAACCATTGAATAGTATAAATTTCGTGAGGGTCGATAAGAGGTTTCAAAGATTTTTGAAGGACAGTTAATCAAAACAGTTTGGCGACCCCTGATGTAAGTTTACTTGTCGGGCCAAGGTATTGCTTGGTACTGTTGCCACCACCTTTGAGCAACGTACGACACGTAAAATCCAAGAACGAAACTCAATGGAATCAAATTAATGAAATTGTCGCAGTAAATAACAATTTGTTCGAAATCCCTGAAAAAAAAACAGAACAGTCAAAGCGAATTTATTAATTATTTCTTAGTAACAGGGTTGCTGAAGAGCGATTAAATGTTTAATTCAATTGAACACCAATTGGCAATTAACGTTCCATTTCTTATTTGATTCTGACTAATTGAGAACTGAAACTATTTAATCAGCTCAACTAGAAAAAATTCAAAGTAATAACTGAATTTCAATTCTTAATTAAAAAATATTCCAATTATCAATTGAGGTTTAAAGATATTTAATCGTTAATTCTTAATACAGGAATTAAAAAATTTGCAACCCTGCTCAATATTAATTTTTGAATTTCAAACCTTTTTTGCGAGGGCGTAAGAAGGTGACGATAAATGGCAGAGAGGGCGCCGAAGAGTATCAGAAATATGATCAATTCTCTGTAAATGAGTTTATAAAGAGAACCTCTCCACATAAAAAGAAGCCTGGTGAAACCACCCCTGGTGGAGTTTGCCACCTGGTATTGGTATGAAACCGTCATCTTGTCTTACTTGTTCATTTCACAGCGAAATCAATAACTCTTTCTTTCTTTTCATCGTTAATGCTGCAAGCTTTCAATAACAGTTATCTTACGTTTATTAGTTCTATCTACGAATAGAGTACACATTGTAATACCTCAGGTAGGGTGGAATGAATTTACGAAGGAAAAAAACATTTTTTTAGCTGATTTTAAACGAGCTGGAAACTTCTTTTCGATAATGGTATCGTATGCTCATAATACATCGTGAATCTCTACGAACAGATGAACATTCACTTGCTGAATAATTTTCAATTTCGTGTTTACTCGATTCCTTACTTCGTTTTCTCGCTACGTAAGCTATTGATACAATCAATCGATGCAACACTAGGAAATATACATAGGCTGCAATGCAAAGGAGCAACCAAAGGAGCACAGGAAACAAATACACGCAGTGTATCCAGTACATGGAGGAATGTAAGAAAGCAAGCATACGAGCCAAACTAAGCAAGCAAGAGATTGAAGCAGTTAACGTAACTGTCTCATTAACTTATTTTTCTATCATTTAAAAATAATAAACACATAAAGTAAATAGAGCAGAAACTGTTTCTTAAATATTTAAACATTCTTATGCATGATTCTATTACGTAATATATACAACTGATTTGTAACAATTATTTAAACAGGGCATTGTCATACTTTTGGTGCTTTCATGGCACTGCTCAAATTTTCGCTAAGAATATATGACTAATTAATTAAGCATTGAAATCGACACAAACAAAATTTTCATGTTGAACATGTTACTTAATAATGTTTAAAAAGTATGCAGATTTTCAATAAATAAAAACTTAAATTGTGATACACGTTTGTTTTAATAAAGAAAAGGTGAATACCAATAATTAATTCGGCTCGAAAGAATAGTAGTTCTAATTTGCAATTTTGCACTATTATTGAATAATACTTAAGTTGATATAAGAATTGATAATTTCAAATAATTGCTGTCAAATTAGAATTGTCAATTTTCCATTTTATTTCGTATAAAAATTGACTATTTATAACTAATTAATTTAATATAAAAATTGTTAATTTGATGCAATAATTAATTTAGTATAAATATTGCCAATCTTATAAGAATATTATTAATTTCATACAGGAATTAGCAATTATACTTAAATCGATTCGTAAGCAATGAAAATCGACTCTGAATCAAGTTTTGTCCAGTTCCAAAGTGTATATCCTCACAGAAATTATTGCCAAACTTCAATCACTGATAATTCTATTAATAAGGCTGCTTCATTCAAATTACTTCAGCATTAGCTCAAGTGAAAGTTTAAACTCTCTACATTATCTCAGGTTCTCTAACAATTTTATCTAAATTGACTTCTAAGGGATTAAAATAGACTTTGAATCTAACCTTATCCAATTCTAAACATTATATCCTTACAAAAATGGTTGTCAAACTTTAATTGCTGATAACATTGTTAATTTTCTATCAAATGGATTCAATTTTAATTCAAATTAATGTTTGCATTCTCTACTTTAAGTTAGCATCTCTCACAATTATCACATTACTTAATTATATGTTTATTTTAATAAAAAAAAGGTGAATAGAAGTATGTACACTCTAAGACATAACTGAGGACTCAACATTTGGGTCAGAAAAATCAGTAGCTATTAATTTATAAGTAAACGTACTAATTTACAATTTTGTATTGATTTATTAAAAATATCAATACAGTTTAAGTTAATAATACGGTGTAACTAGAATTTCCATATTCATTTCGTAGATTATTTACTATACTTAACCACATTAATA